TCCCTTTTATTCTATTAGCTTTTGAAAGCCAATAGAATAGACTCTCTTGAACAGAGTCTAATTCTACTGGCTTTCAAAAGCCAATAGGAATTGTCCAGGCTGTCTCTGCCCTGCTGAGCCCGCCAAAAGTCCCATTCTGCAAACGGTGCTGCACCAGTTGAGTAGTCCTCGACTTACGACTGTTGAGTAGTCCTCGACTTACGACCGGTTGGGGGTCGCGGCATTAAAAAGGTTGAGAACCACTGGTCTAGTCTAATGAAAAGAAGGACGAGGGGGGACATGATAGCAGCGTTCCAGTATCTCAGGGCCTGCCCCAAAGAAGAGGGAGTCAAGCTATTTTCCAAGGCGCCTGAAGGCAGGACAAGAAGCAACGGGTGGACACTGATCAAGGAGAGAAGCAACCTAGAACAGTGGTGGCGAACCTATGGCACGCGTGCCAGAGGCGGCACTCAGAGCCCTCTCTGTGGGCACGCGTGCCATGCCCTGGAGATGGCAACCATCCTCTTCAACCAGCCGCCTGCTAACTCGCTCAGGTCACACGTGGCCGGATGCATCCCAGCACCCATGCGCTCGCTGGCCTCTGTGTGCGGGGGCCGATGGTGTCAGGCAGCAGGCGTCTTGGCCCCTGCCTCGCCTTGCCTTGCCTCACCTCACCCTGCAGGACGAGCTTCCTGCCCACCTCCCCATCCGCCAGAGACGCCCTGGATCTCCCCCAACGCTGCCCGGCCCCCACAGGCGTCCCTCCCCAGGAGCAACATTGAGCTGGCCACGCCCACCCTGGCCATGCCCATCCAAACCTGGTTTATGGGCAATTCCACCATTAACAACCCCATTTGGAAGATTCCTCTACCCCTACTAAAGAGAAAGACCATTGTATCATCACCGTATCAGGTGATCAAAATTGAGACGCTTGGCCCCTGACTCATATTTATGACGGTCACAGTGGCTGGGGGTGGTGGTCATGTGATCATCTTTTTTGACCTTCTGACAAGCAAAGTCAATGGGGGATGCCAGATTCGCTTAACAACCGTGTTTCTAACTTAACAACGGCAGGCAAGAAATGTCGTGAAATGGGACAAAATTCACTTAACAAGGTCTTGCTTAGCAACAAAAATGTTGGGCTCAGTTGTGGTTGTAAGTCGAGGACTATATGTACTTTTACTGTGTTCAGGGGGGCTAACTCCCTTGACCATGTGCTCCCTCCAAAAAGCCAAGGTTAAAACTAATCCAGTTTACCACGTCGTGTGAATGTAACTGCCGAGTTCTTAACACTCTCCACTTGTTAGGAGGTAATAATAATAATAATAATAATAATAATAATAATAATAATAATGGTGGTGGTGGTGGTGGTGGTGGTGGTGGTGGTGATGATGATGATGATGATGATGATAAAGTTGGAAGGGATCTTGGAGGTCATCTAGTCCAACCCCCTGCTCAGGCAGGAAACCCTATACCATTTTGGGCAAATGATTGTCCAGTCCTTTCTTCAAAACTTCCAGTGTTGGAGCATTCACAGCTTCTGGAGGCAAGTTGTTCCACTGGTTAATTGTTCTCACTGTCAGGAAATTCCTCCTTAGTTCTGGGTTGCTTCTCTCTTTGATGAGTTTCCATCCGTTGCTTCTTGTCCTGCCTTCTGGTGCTTTGGAGAATAGCTTGACTCCCTCTTCTTTGTGGCAGCCCCTGAGATATTGGAAGACTGCTATCATGTCCCCCCTCGTCCTTCTCTCCATTAAACTAGACATTCCCAATTCCAGCAACTGTTCCTTATATGCTTTAGCCTCCAGTCCCCTAATCATCTTTGTTGCTCTTCTCTGTACTCTTTCTAGAGTCTCAGCATCTTTTTTACATCATAGTGACCAAAACTGGATGCAGTATAATAATAACAATAATAAGAGCAGCAGCAACAACAACAATAATAAAGTTGGAAGGGATCTTGGAGGTCATCTAGTCCAACCCCCTGCTCAGGCAGGAAACCCTATACCATTTCGGACAAATGGCTGTCCAGTCTCTTCTTAAAAACTTTCAATGTTGGCGCATTCACCGCTTCTGGAGGCAGGTGGTTCCACTGGCAAACCCAGCCCAAGAGTTTTGTCTTGATGTTTGGTCCACCTGGACTTGAATCTCCCTGTCGAGCGTAGCAGGTTGGCGGCAAAATGATTAAAACGGTGCATGCAGGCTGCTTGTGTGTCGAGTCCGATGCATGTGTACTTTGTCCACGCTGGTTGTGATGGTGCTGCTCGGCTTGTAGTTGGTCGTGTGGTTGCGCACTGAGTGCTTACTGTGGGCAGCAGCCGTTATGTTTTGTTACACAACTGACATGTTTGGGTGTGTGTACAGTGATTGACTATGTGCGAAAGGTAAATAATTTCTTATTTTAAAAAATGGTTGGTGAATCGAAAATCTTTTTTAAATTTTTAGTGTAAAAGTGTGACCCCAAATTTAAAAATGAAAAAAAAAAAATTACTTCTCAACCACTGGTCCTGCTAAGAACTGAATATATAATTTTTTAAATAAAAACTTCACAAGATGTGAGTTCCGGCACCTTTTTTCTTACAAAAAAAGCACTGGCTAAAAGCCATATACTGTATGATTCAAAGCAATTGGGGCTGATTGGACAAAAACCTACTTAAAACAGGTCTGAACTCAGTTTGAAAAGGGGAGAAACTTAATTACCAGCCTCTACAGGTAGTCCTCAACTTACGACGACAATTGAGCCCAAATTTTCTGTTGCTAAGCGAGACCTTTGTTCAGTGAATTTTGCCCCATTTTATAACCTTTCTTGCCACAGTTAAGTTATTAGTAACACAATTATTGTGTGAATCTGTCTTTGATTTGGCTTAAGTTCGCAAAAAGTGATCACATGAGTCCGGGACACTGCAATCATCAAGCATTTGAATTTTGATCACGTGATGCTGCAATGGACATAAGCGTGAAAACCAATCACAAGTCACTTTTTCAGGGCCCTTCTAACTTCAAATGATCTGTTGCAAGTGGAGGTTTACCTGAGTTTAATTTAGAATTCTCCACATTGAGAAAGCACCCATTCTCAAAATCTCACACCGAAATATTTTTTCGGGTCTCTTTTTTTTAAACGGGACTGTTCAGGAACTGGATCCAGTGGTTCCTAGGCAGCCTATTTCAAGGTTACTCAAATGTGTCACCTTTAAGACCTACGGACTTCAACTCCCAGAGTTCTCCAGCCAGCCATGAGGAGCATTGAGAAACATTTACAGTGCTTCTTAAACATGTCACCTTTAAGACCTGTGGACTTCAACTCCCAGAGTTCCCGAGTCAGCCATGAGAAGCATTGAGAAGCATATACAGCAGTGGTTCTCAACCTGTGGGTCGGGACCCCATTTGGGGTCAAATGACCATTTCACGGGGATCGCCAAACCACACTGTCCGCCATTTTTTTCCCTTTTCCCTAGCTGTCCTACTCCCTCTTATTGGTGGCCACACCCACTTGGGGGTCACCACAACATGGGGAACTGTATTATGGGGTCACGGCATTAGAAAGGTTGAGAACCATTGATTTACAGTGACAACATGGGGGCTCCCTTGGTGGATTTGGCCCGTTCAATGAACCCCCTCGCTAGGTTATTGTTCACGTATCGCTGTATCTCCTCCATTTCGAGGGGGGACATAGCATAAGGTCGTGGGAGTTTGGCTTCTGGCACTAGTTCGATGGAGCAGTCATTGGGTCTGTGAGGGGGTAGGGCAGTGTTTCTCAACCTTGACAATTTGAAGGCATGTGGACTTCAACTCCCAGAATTCCACAGCCAGCAATGCTGGCTGTGGAATTCTGGGAGTTGAAGTCCACATGCCTTGAAATTGTCAAGGTTGAGAAACACTGGGGTAGGGCATTGCATTCTTTTTCATTGAATGCCTCTGCCAGGTCCCAGTAGTCATTGGGAATGAGTGGTTCATCTAGTGGTGGTAAGGCAGCCACGTGCGCTCGTTCATTGGGTGGCCTAAGGTGCCCTGCAACATCTGTTGAATCAATGGGGGGGATTAGGCCCTATAGGTAGTCTCACGGTTCTCATTCCTTTCTCCCACCAGATAAACAGCTTCCGTTTGTCTAACCAGGCTAGCCCTAGGATCACAGTCATTTTTGGAGCCACTAGGAAGCGAATAAACTCCCAGTGCGCACCTATTCCTAGGCGTAAGGGCTCAGTTACTTGTGTGACAAGAGTCCCTCTCATGAGAAGGCCATCGGCTTGCTCAAACCTCATGGGTTCAGAGAGCAATTTTGCTCGAATGTCCAATTTCATGGCAAAGGGTAAGCTAATAATACATCGGGTACATCCAGAATCTATTAGCACATTTAAAGTGTCCCCTTTAAGACCTGCAGACTTCCAGTGTTCTCCAGTCAGCCATGAGGAGCATTGAGAAGCATCTACAACAGCGGTTCTCAACCTGTGGGTCGGGACCCCATTTGGGGTCAAACGACCATTTCACGGAGGTCACCAAACAACGCAGTCCACCATTTTTTCCCGCCTTTTCCTTAGCTGTGCTACTCCCTTTTATTCTATTGGCTTTTGAAAGCCAATAGAATAGACTCTCTTGAATAGAGTCTAATTCTATTGGCTTTCAAAAGCCAATAGGAATTGTCCAGGCTGTCTCTGCCCTGCTGAGCCCGCCAAAAGTCCCATTCTGCAAACGGTGCTGCACCAGTTGAGTAGTCCTCGACTTACGACCGGTTGAGTAGTCCTCGACTTACGACCGGTTCAGGGTCGCGGCATTAAAAAGGTTGAGAACCACTGATCTACAATAATTCTCAAAGGTATCACCTTTAAGATTTGTGGACTTCCACTCCCAGAGTTCTCCAGTCAGCCATGAGGAGCATTGAGAAGCATGGCTGGGGAATTCTGGGAGTCGAAGTCCACAGATCTTAAAGGTGACACCTTAAAGAAACACCGTCAATTTATCCCAGGACCGGTCCCATCCTGAGCCGAAGAGGGGAGACCAACCCTTTGCCCCCTTCCTCCTTGCCCCCTTACCTGAGAAGCCAACATGTGCTGGGAGAGATGGAAGGGGAACGGGGTGGTGGTGCCCGCCGTCCCTTGAGGAGCTGAGAGTCCCCCGTTTTCCAGGCCCCCTCCGCCTGCCACCGAAGCCAGCAAGTGTCCCATGCCCATCGCCGAAAAGGCGCCCGGAGCCATGGCAAACTGAGTCGGGTGAAGAAAGAAGGGCTGCCCGGCACCCAGAGGGTTGAAGAACTGTTGACCGTGAAGGCCCGAGAGAGCCAAGCTCTGAAGGTGGCTGGGGTTCAGGTGTGGCGGGCTGTCGGTCTGCACCATCAGAGGGGCGAAGGCTTCCTTGCTGCTGCACCCCACCGGGGCACAATCCCCGGGCAATTCCTTTTTGGATCCTTCTTGGGACGGCTGCAGGAGAGACTCCTTCCTTCTGCCCTCCAGCTTCTCCTTCTCCGAGCCCAGAGGGGTGAAGAGGGAGGCCTCACCGCCTCCATTGCCTTCTTTGGAGACCTCGCTGGCTTTTCCTCGTTCTTTACTCCGCTCTTCGCCTTGCAAGCAGAGGCTGTGGTTGTGGGGCGGGCTGCCCGGGCCCAGGTCCGGGCTGGATCTCTTCACCCCTGATCCTTTCTCCAGCTCTTGGTCACTTCCTTTGTCTTCTGCAAGGAGAAAAAGGCCACTTTAGCCCAACTGGCAGAAGAGAAGAGAAGAGAAGAGAAGAGAAGAGAAGAGAAGAGAAGAGAAGAGAAGAGAAGAGAAGAGAAGAGAAGAGAAGAGAAAATATGGAATGGAAGAATAGAATAGAATAGAATAGAATAGAATAGAATAGAATAGAATAGAATAGAATAGAATCTGCTTCCTGCTTCCTACAGAGATGCAGCAAAGGAAGGAGCCCCGCCCAATAAGCTTGTCAGCGTGAGGCCACTCTCTTTTTTACACACACATACACATGCAGAGAGAGGGGGAGGGAAGTGCAAGTGACTCTCTCTGTCTCTGTCTATCTCTCTGCAAATGGTGGAGGAGGCTGGGAGCTGCAGGAGAAGGCTCAAAGAACCACATGAGGCTCCGGAGCTGCAGGTTGCCGACCTGTGCCCTAGACCATTTCAGACAAATAGTTGTCCAGTCTCTTCTTAAAAACTTCCAGTTGGAGCATTCACAACTTCTGGAGGCAGGTTGTTCCACTGGTTAATTGTTCTCGCTGAGCTGCGAGAGGGAGGAACCAGGGTCCTCCAAGAACTGAGGAACCACAAGCCCCATCATCCTCGGGAAGAGGGTTTGGAGATTTTATTTTAGGTGTTTTGGATTCTGCAAAGGATGGTCTTTTCCAAACAGTATTTCTGTCTTTGGTGCTCACTGAGCTGGGTTGTTTTCTTGCAGACGTTTCATTACCCCACTAGGTAACATCATCAGTGCTAAAAGCAATGGTGGGATTCAGCCGGTTTGCACCACTTCGGCAGAACTGATAGCTAATTTTTTGTTGCCCAGGCCCAGAATGGACTTCTGGAAGTGGCATCCATACAGAGAACCGGTTGTTCACCTATTTGAAACCCAGCACTGGCTAAAAGGGAGTGGGTTTTGCTCTCTGATTATATACTAGTGATTTGTCTTGTCAGTGTTGGTGGGAGTGTTCTTAGTGCTTCCTCAATTAGGCTGTTGTTTACTCTTTGAAATAGTAAATCCCACTCCTTTCTAGTACTGATGATGTTACCTAGTTGGGTAATGAAACGTCTGCAAGAAAACAGCCAAGCCCAGAGAGCACCAAGGACCCCGCAGTTCAACCCTGAGCAATTACTATTATCCTCTTTTAGTTAGTATTTCTGTCTTTGGTAGCATGATATGTTGTATTTTGTGAACCACCTAGAGTCACCACTAATTGAGGTGGGCCAAGCCAGATTCACTTAACGACCATGTTACTATCTTAACAAACTGCAGGGATTCACTTAACAACTGTGGCAAGAAAAGTCGTAAAATGGGGCAAAATTTGCTTAACAAATATTTAATTTAGTAATGGAAATTGGGGGTTCAGTTGTGGTCATACGTCGAGAACAACCTGTAAAATTTGTAAAATGTGTAAATGGACAAAAATCACGCTAATGTTACAATAAAGTACACATTAGAACTAAAAATGGAGTCCCTTGAAAAATCCTATTTTATAAAATTGAGCCAGCATCTGCTTGGCCTGGCATTAGTGCTGCCAAGGATTCGTGACTCAGGAGAAAGGGGATTTTTTTTTTTTTAATAGCTTCCTTGTTACTGGAGAACATCAGATATTTTGCTGTAAATACTCCAGTATTCAACTTGCCGCCAAAATAAATGAGACTTTCAGATTTACAGCTTCTTGCTACTAAAATATGACTTGGTATAATCAATAAATCATAAAACCTCCCAGACTATGACCTTATCACACATTCTTAGAAGGAAATGCCAATTTTTATGCCTCTCCTTTGCTTATAAGGAACCACAGAGTTGTAATAATGTATGCAATATTCAGTACTCAAAAAAAAAATTGATCTTGAAGTCACCGCATTTCGAAATTCATTTCTGTGCAAATGATCAACTAAAGAGCCATCAATTTAAACCTGCCACCAAACTTAAAATCTTGTGTTGTGCAAGTTTACTCAAAAGTAAAATAATGGCTTAAGGCTGAAAACATGGACACGTTACTGACTGTATTTGCTCTTTTATATTAAACCACCAATCCTGTTTAGCAATCTCTCATTGCTAAGACAAAACTAGATAAATTGCATTAAAGGTGCATAAATTAGATTGTCATATTAAGCTATAATGTGGCTGTCTGGCTTGGATTTAGCATATGCAAAGATATTTCCTGAGAGTAAACTGCTAGAAATTTTAATTCCAAGACACTTAAATCCAGATGAGCAAAATTCCCCTAATTACAGGTAGTCCTTGACTTACCACAGTTGGATTAGTGACCGTTCGAAGTTACAACGGCACTGAAAAAAGTGACTTATGACCATTTTTCACACTTATGACTATTGCAACATCCACACGGTCATGTGATTAAAATTTGGATGCTTGACAACTGATTCACATTTATGCAGTGCCCCAAGGTCATATCAAAAAAAGTTGTAAAATGGGGCAAATCTCACTTAACAAAATTCTCACAACATAAATTGGGGACTCAGTCGTAGTTGTAAATTGAGGACTACCTGTATAGTGAATTTTTTGCAGGCACTTATAGGTGTGTGAAGATAGCAACCTTGATCCTTTTATTGTCAGTTCATTTGGTAGGGACTTAGAAACCCCCATGTTCGTTAATTTTAAGAATTAGAAAAGCCTCACTAATTTTAAGAATTCCAAGGATTTTCTGAAAGTTTTTAGGGCAAAATGTGTCTTAAAAATTCCAGAGGGAAAAAAAAAAGTGGGTTTAATACAGCCAGCAGGGGGCGATGGATAGCAAAGTCTCTCTTCCCCAAAATTACATTATGGGTAGCAAGGAACTAAGTTGAAGGGAACAGAGAGATAATTCTCTGCAGAAAATATTAAAAAAATATTTTAAATATTAAAATATTGAAAAAAAAAACTTTTTGGAGTTGCAGTCCAAACATCTTCAAATCGCCAAGGTTGAGAGACATAGGTATAGTAGGGTCTGCTCCATGAATAAACATAATTTAAGCTTAGAAACATCTCTGTTTCTCACCTCTTTGGGACCTGCAAATCTCCAACTATGGCAAAATGCAGATAGTCCTCGACTTACAACAGTTCACTTAGTGACCGTTCAAAGTTACAACGGCCCTGAAAAAAGTGACTTATGATTGTTTTTCACACTTATGACCGTTGCAGCAGCTGATTCGTATTTACGACAGCTGCAGTGTCCTGGGGTCAGGTGATCCCCTTCTGCGACCTTCTGACAAGCAAAAACAATGGGGAAGGCAAATTCACTTAATGACCGCATTACTAACTTAACAACGGCAGCGATTCACTTAACAAATGTGGCTAGAAAAGTGGTAAAATGGGACAAATTCACTTAACAAATTTCTCACTTAAGTACATAAACTTTGGGCTCCATTGTGGTCGTAAGTTGAGAACTACCTGCATAAATTAACTGGGATAGGGAGGTGGATTCTTACGATTATAATTTGGGAAGGAGTTAGATCACACAACAGTACAGGTAATCCTTGATTTACAACCTTTTGTTTAGTGACTGTTCAAAGTTACAAACGGCACTGGGAAAAAAATGACTTACAACCATTTTTCACATGTACAACCATTGCAGCATCCGCAGGGTCACGTGACCAAAATCCAGACTCTTGGCAACTGGCATGTACTTAATGACGGTTGCAGTGTCCCGGGGTCATGTGATCCCCTTTTGCGAACTTCTGACAAGCAAACTCAGATACGCTTAACAACCGTGTTACTAACTTAACAACTGCAAGTGATTCAGTTAACAACCATGGCGAGAAAGGTCGCAAAATGGGACAAAGGAGCACTGTCTCGCTTAGCAACAGAAACGGGCTCAACTGTGGTCATAAGCAGAGGACTACATATACGTATTTGTTTTTTCATGGAAGAAGTTCAAACTTTTTTAAAGGGGGAAAATGCTGAACGGGGGCTCCAGGGATTCAGGATTGGAACCGGGGTGACTCTCCCCCCCCCATTTGGAGAAGGACCCACCCCTCCACCCCCTTGTGGGCTCTGCTCCCCTCCGCAAAGATCCTCACCTCTGCTGTTCCGGTGGACCCGCAAAGGGCTGGGGGTTGTGGCCAACGGGGAGTGAAGGGACTCTTGAACTGGGCCAGGTTCACAAGAAGAGGCATCCGATTCGCCCCCGTCTCTATCCTGCTTGCAGGGGTCCTCATACATCCTCAGGGAAGGCAGAGTCAGCTGTTTCCTTTCAGTGGGGAAAAGAAGGGGAGGGGGACAAGTTTTAATCTTCAGCATCAGGATTTCAGAGGGTCTGAGTTCCCCCCCCCCACTTCTTTCTCCCTGTCATCCCCAGAATTTGTGGGTGCTCCATCACTGTAGGTTTCCAAGAAGAGATTGGGCGGCCATTTTGCCTGGAATTATGTGTACAGCACTAATTCTCAACCTTGGCAGCTGGAAGTTGCGTGGACTTCAGTTCCCAGAATTCCCCAGCCAGACTTGCTAGGATCTCCTGCTTGAGCTGGCTGAGGAATTCTGGGAGTTGAAGTCCACACATCTTCAAACTGCCACGGTTGAGAGACATAGATGTGGGGTCTCCTGCTCGGGCTGGCTGAGGAATTCTGGGAGTTCAAGTCCACACATTTTCAAGCTACCAAGATTGAAAGACATAAGTGTGGGATCTCCTGCTCGGGCTGGCTGAGGAATTCTGGGAGTTGAAGTCCACACATCTCCCAGTTGCCAAGGTTGAGAGACATAGGCGTAGGGTCTCCTGCTTGAGCAGAGAGTTGGACTAGAAGACCTCCAAGGTCCCTTCCAAACCTACATCAGATAGTCCTCGACTTACAATAGTTCATTTAGTGACCGTTCAAAGTTACAACTGAAAAATGTGACTTAGGACAGCTTTTCATGGTTACGACCTTTGCAGCATCCCTGTGATCATGTGATCAGAATTCAGATGCTTGGCAAAGGGTTGGTATTTATGACCGCAGCTCTGTGTCGCAAGGTCATGGGGTCCCCGTTTTGTGACCGGCAAAGTCAACGGGAAAGCCAGATTCACTTAACCACCGGGTTGCTAACTTATCAACTGGAGCGGTTCCCTTAATAACTGTGGCAAGAAAGGCTGTAAACTGGGGCAAGGCTCACTTAGCAAAGGTCTCATTTAACAACAGAAATTTTGGGGTCAACTGTGGTCGTACGTCGAGGACTACCTGTATATGTTTTACTTCTCGAGGTCAAAAAAAAAAAAAACCAGGTGATAGTAACCCAAAAGTTCCCAACGAAACCAGACATGGACATCACCTCACTAAAGCCGAGCCACTTTTGAGGAAAATGGATTCCCGCTCAAAAATCTGCATGATATGCTTGGCGGCAGTGCGGAAGGACCTTGATGCTGCTTTCTCAGTTGATTAATTTCTCAGCCTAATTGGCATCCCAGGAATCAATGAGTGATCTCCCATCCAATTGCTAACCGGCCCTCCCCCTGCTTAGCTTCTTAGACAGCCAAAATGGCCTCTGTGCTGCCATTTGCTGAAGGGTTGGTGACTGCTATTAAACCTGGAGCAAAAAACACGGCCTAGAACTCCTTTTCTTTCATACGTTCAGCCTCATTTCCCCAATGCTAAAATTTAGAGTTGGTTGAGATAATATGTTATTTGAGGGAGGCAGAGCAGTTTAAGGTACCTTGGAAGCTGTGCTTTAACTGAAGATGCCATGTTTCAGCTAAGGCCGTGCTTTGAATGTTGAGTCACGTTTGTGTAGAGTTTAATAGAATATAGAACAATAGAGTTAGAAGGGACCTTGGAGGTCTTCTAGTCCAACCCCCTGCTAGAGCAGGAGATCCTCTACCAGGGGTAGGCAACCTTGGCTCTTTTATGACTCGTGGACTTCAACTCCCAGAATTCCTGAGCCAGCCATGCTGAGGAGAAATGGAGAGGTTTCCATGCTGAGCCATGTTGGCTCAGGAATTCTGGGAGTTGAAGTCCACGAGTCATAAAAGCCAAGATTGCCTATTCCATTTCAGATAAATGGTGATCCAAACTCTTCTTGAAAACCTCGAGTAATGGAGCACCCACAACTTCTGGTGGCAAGCTGTTCCACTGGTTAATTGTTCTGTCAGGAAATTTCTCCTTAATTCCAAGTTACTTCTCTCCCTGATTAGTTTCTATCCCTTGCTTCTTGTCCTGCCTTCAGGAATTTCAGAGAATAGGTTGACCCCCTCTTCTCTGTGGCAGCCCCTCAAATATTAGAACACTGCTATCTTGTCACCCCTAATCTTGTCTCCTCTCCTCCCCTTCTCTCCCCCCATCCCTCCCCTCTCTTCCCTTCTCTGCAACTTAATGAAAAGGACGAAGGGGGACATGATAGCTGTGTTCCAATATCTCAGGGGCTGCCCCAAAGAAGAGGGAGTCAAGCTATTTTCCAAAGCGCCTGAAGGCAGAACAAGAAGGAACAGATGGAAACTAACCAAAGAGAGAAGCAACCTAGAACTAAGGAGAAACTTCCTGACAGTTAGAACAATTAACCAGTGGAACAACCTGCCTCCAGAAGCGGTGAATGCTCCAACACTGGAAGTTTTTAAGAAGAAACTGGACAGCCATTTGTCCAAAATGGTATAAGGTTTCCTGCCTGAGCAGGGAGTTGGACTAGATGACCTCCAAGATCCCTTCCAACTTTATCATTATTATTATTATATAAATCCAGCAACTGTGACTTGTAAGCCATGTTTATGGCAAGGTGCTATCAAAACCCAGGCAGCAGGAGGTTGTTTAATAAACCATAATTAAACTAACCACAGTTCAATACCTTGGATGAACACAGTATTTGATTAAAAAGTTGGGTTAATTTCTCTTGTTTTCAACAAGCTGAAGACTCGGTCAAGCTCGTAAGGCTGCCCACAAAATTTCTGAGTAAACACCACTAAGGTGGCCGATAACAATAACAAATTTGCAATACAACATTGCAATACAATTTTGTGAATGCTTGTTCCAAAATCAATCCCATACAGGTCAGGGACTATATTTAGGATGGCCAAATGAAGATAAGGAGAAAGTGCAGAAATGAAAAAAAACGGCATTGGCCCATTGAAATAAATTCAACTTTATTGACATTAAGGGAGGAAAAAAATATACTCTCAATTTACCTTTTCTCTCTCCGTCCATTCCCTGTATCTCGGAATCCTTTTGCAAAGGGGTTGTTATCTATCTTCAGCTGGGTGATCTGAGGAAAAAAAAAATGGAAATAACATTTAGAAACACTCCAAACCTATTGCCCCCAGCAATGTCACGTCGTTCAGTGCTGTCGTAAATTTTAACAGTCACTAAGCAAACCGTTGTAAGTCAAGGACTGTATTCCCTAGGGTTTCAAAAACAGAATGTTGGAGAAATAAGATAGAAGAAAATGTGAATGGGGGGAGGGGGCAGAGAAGTGGGGCTGAGACTCTTGGACGGGACTAAAGGAAGGAACAGGGGTCTCCACCCCATCTCCAGACCCCAAGATCTGCAAAAGCCAGATTTTCAGGGATTTTTTTTTTCCCATTTCCCTCCTCAGGCTGGCTGGGCTTCTCTCGCCTGGTGGTCTCGTAAATTTGAAGGGCGAAGGCCGTAACCGATTAACAACCTTCCACCGTGAAGCAAAAGCCCCCAAGCGACAGGGGGGAACAAGTGGGGGGCTGGCAATGAAAAACTCCTCTCTTCTCGCCCGAGTCCCTCTCTGCTAGCATTTGCAAAAGAAATTTCCCTGCATCCTTCCTTTGCTGCCGGCTTCAGATCTAATTCCGATCCGATTTCCAGCCAAGGGTTTATACCTTGGATCCGGACCCTAATTGTACTTAAACTATAAAAACTTCTCCTCTCCCTCCTTTCCTTCCTTTTAGGCCTGAGCACCACAAACTGCAAGGAGAAAAATGCTGGTTTAAAGAGGGTTTTCTTGCATGTGTTATGATTCAAATAGGGGACACCTATTTGAAACCTGGGGTGGGATTCCCACAACCAGGTCGGGTGAAGACCTACCGAGGACCTTGGGAGGACAATTCCGGCCTTGTTTTGATGCTCCACTCCAGAGCGATTTTAAAATTTCAGGGACTGAATTAGCAACTGCATTTTGCAAGTCAGCTTGCGTTTATTGTAAACTGGAACGTGACTTTTTACCTCTCTATCTTCTATACCTATATTTTACAGTTTCGTTCTTAGTGTCATAAGTGGAATTATCTTGTGGTGAAATAGGCGGCCAAGAAATTTAATAAATGAATAAAAATAAAGTCAGTTCCTGGTTAATGCATTGCGGGGTGTGGGGGGGGGTGGAGGAAGCATACAACCAATTTATTCAATTGGCAGCATAAGCTGGTTGGGGGAATTCAGCCCCCAATTCTCTGCTTCCCTGCTCCTTTCCTGACGCCCCCCCCCCCAAAAAAATTCAGGGAAATCTGGAGGGTGCTTCCAAGCACCACTTACCCAGGCTTGGCTAAAATTTGCAGAATTCAGCTAAATAGGAACTGTAAGCCTGCAGTACATGGCCTGGTTTTACATATTTAAACTGTCTCTAATGGAGTTGAGTTCAGAGGGTCACGAAAAATCACCCATTGTTTTAGGAAGTTGTGTGAATCAGGCCATTAGGGCTGATTCGTGTGAATGCGGCAATGGTTCCGGTCACCCGGGGTTACCATTTCTTGTGAACGTGACTAGTGGCTCCTACAATCCTCTATTTATTCTATTCTCTCCCTCTCCCCGGAAATGGGGAGGGGGGGAAATGAACACTGACAAACTGTGTGAAACCTTTTTTTTTTTTTTGGAAGATGTTTCTAGAAGATAGATAAAGACTCTGAAACATCTCTTAAAACCTTGAAGATATTCCTAGAGGACACACACACACACAAAAAAAATCAGCAGGATGAAGGGGGGGATAGTTTGGAGATTTTTTTATATAACAAAAAAAGTTGCACGGATCAGATATCCCCTTCTAATATTAATAGAGGGCCAGTTTGGTGTAGCAGCGGATAAGGTGCTGGCCTGAAAACCAGGCGGTGTGAATTCTAGTCCTGTCCGAGGCACGAAATTTGACTGGGTGAGTTTGGGTCAATCACCAGGCGTCTGAGAATTCTAGTCCCGCCTTAGGCCTGAAAGCTGGTTGGGTGGCTTTGGGCCGATCACCAGGAGAAGCCTGAAAGCCAATTGGGTGACCTTGAGCCAGTCATCAGGCGACGGTGAGTTCTAGCTGCACCTTAGGCACGAAAGTTGGTTTTGGTGACTTTGGGCCAGCCCAACCCACCACACACAGGATTGCCGTTGTGGGAAAAATAGGAAGAGAGAGAAGTATTGGATATGTTCGCTGGCTTGAATTACCTACGAAGTAATAAAGGCAGGACATAACTTAAATAAATAAATATACAATCCACCCTGCATGTTAGATATTTAAGACCGAAAGCCAAGCCTCCAGTCACAAATCGTAGAGCAGAGATTAGATTTTTCTTGCCCTAATACTAGCCTTACACCTCCCTTCAATGGGTGGCTACTTGTCTCAAATTCTTAGACTTAAAAAAAAAAAGAAGAGGAGGAGGAGGAGGAGGAGGAGGAGGAGGAGGAGGAGGAGGAGGAGGAGGAAAAAGAGACAAATCCAGGAAGCTTAAAGCTCAATGGAGCCTCCGTGGATCATGGCAGTCTATCTTGAATCACTCATGGGAAATCTCCTGTTTCAGCTGGTTCGGTTTTTCAAATCTAGCCCCTTGGAAGTTAAGAATTGAAAGGCGGGACTAACCAAGAAATTAAGGAAGAGAGACCCAGTCCTTAATCACCCACCCACCCACCCAGGCATACCCCACCAAGTTCTTGCCTTGTCATTTTGATAAGCAGTCACCGCAATGAAGTCGGTTTCCGGGAACACGTAGGTGCGGAAAGTGCTGTAAGGTAACTTGAGGATGTCATTCGCTCGGACTATGTGGAACCTGGGCTGGTACTTATGCATGGAATTGAGGATCGTCTGTAAAGGAAGCCAGGAGAGAGGAGAAAGCAGGTTAAAAGCTAGTCAAAGAGAAGAGATGTGGGGTGGAGGGGAAAATCCAGACCTCTTTTAAACATGGCTGTGTGATGCTATCACGCTCATTAAAAAAAGGGAAAAAAATCTGCTTATTGTTTTGTTTTTATGCCGTTAAAAATCCCATTGCATCCATCCATCCCCCCCCCCCAATAAAGTTAGAAAGAATACTGTTTGGGGGCAAAAGAAGAAAAAGAAGGAGAGTTTAGGATTAAATACGTTCACGAGAACACTGCATTCCCACCCTAAATAAATAAGAGAAGGAAAACTTCTACAAAAAAAAAAAAAAGCCTTATGGAACAATCCCTTTTCAGGATCAACCCAGCCCCAAATTTAATCCAAAGCTGAATTTAATTTTTTTTTTTTTGCTAGTAGAGGCAAGGATGATTTTTGAATCACTTGGGTAGAAGTTGCAGAAACTGAATAAATAAATCAAATGGTTTTGCTGGTGACAGAAGGGACAGAGAAAATTCCGAGGGAGACGCCCCCCCCCCAAAGCCAGTTCCCAGAGAGGGAATTGCCCTCTCCATAGGTTTATTTTTTTTTAGGAAAAATAAAAAAATTTGAAAGAGCCGAAGAAAAAGCTCTGTTTTAAAACTGCTGGCCCAGGTTAAGAGGTATAAGAACAGGGAGAGATTTAAGGAGCTTCCTCACGAGTAACACTTTACACATTGTGGTCCCAGGCTCAAACAATGCCTTGCTTTGGGCCTAGACGGAGAAACCTCACATTCGTCAGTGTGCTTTTATAATACATAATTGCTTTTTTATTTATGTATTTATCATCTTGGGAGAGGAATTACGGTGCCGGACCAGAATTTCCATTGGTCAGCAAAGTCGTCATTCAGCGAGTCATGTCCAAAGGTATTACCTTTTTGCCACAGTTGCTAAGCGAATCGCATCCGTTGTCAATAGGTTGTTAAGTGAACCCAGCTTCCTTTATTGATTTTGTTTGTCGGAAAGCCAGTTGGGAAAGTTGCAAATGGTGATCATTTGGACCCCAGGATGCTGCAGTGGTCAAGTTCCTGAATTTGGAACATGCGACCATGAGGAGGCTACAATGGTCGTAAGTGCGAGGACTGTCTTAAGTGGCATTTTTTTCAGAAGGCTGATGGAATGGTTGTAAGCCAAGGACTATCTGTATGGGAGGGGAACTCAAGAGACTATTTTTCTGTGCTCCAAGCTTGGTCTTACAATTCTGACTTTCAAGTATCTTTTCCCTTAGCTTTCCCATTCTCCCCCCCCCCAAAAAAAAACTCAGCAAGGAATTATTTGAGTCTGAAACCTCAACCTGTAAAGCATTACTGTCCCTGCTTTTAAATAAAGGGTGGGGGAATGTTAAAAATCGATGCAGAATTCTATCCAATGATGAAACAGATTAATAGCAATAATGCTGAGAGTTTAAAGGTAGATTAAGAAAAGTTTTCCTTGCTCTGGGGAAAACAGTTGGAAGCCCCCTCCCCTCCTTTCTCGGCTGCCACGGAAATCCGGAGGCTGTCAAAAGGGCTTCTGCTTCGCCCCTTCCCCAAAAAAGGAAGGACGTGCACCCCAAAGCACCAACTTCTTTTGATCAACCCCCCCCCCATCTCCTGTCTCCTTCGAAGGCCACTAAGACGCTTGGCCCAGAGTAAATCAGAGGGAGCCAACAGAAACCCGTTTTCTTTGCTTGCGGCCTCCCTAAGGCGCTAGTCCTCCGCACCTCGGCTGCCATCAACCCAACCGACAAACAGCGGCGAGCCGCAGGAATTCGAATCGGATCCCCCCCCCCTTTTCTCTGGCGAGCGTTTCACCGGAGCTGGTTTGAAACAAAGTGGGGGGAGCGCAAAAGCCCCCCCCCCGCTTTCCACTTCCACGCCTCCCCACGAGAAGCGGATCGGCGGGAGATCTCCGGAAGCAAAGCAGATCCGTTTGGATCTAAGATCCTGGCGGCTAAAGGGAATAAAAAGTCGCCGATCTTTGGCAGCAGCGCGGGTTGATCTGGTCTCCCTTGGGGGGGGGGAGAGAGAGAAGCGCGGCGCAGAGCGAGCGATCCTAACAGCTGGCTCGGGGAATCGAGAAGGGAGAGAAGGCGCCGATCCACCCGATCTGGGAGGCTCCTTGCTCCCGAACAACGACGGTACCCCCAACTTTTGTAGGCTTTTTCTTCCCCCGTCTAACTGGCTCGGATCTCTAAAACGGGGCAAATCCAGCAGGTTCATTTCCAATCAATCAAGATCCCGGATACAAACGCCATTGGATTCCCGGTGCCGCAAAGGGGTGGGCGGGTGATCCAATTCAATCAGGCTTCACTCCCTCTGGGTCTGGGACAATAGCCCAGGTTATCAGTATGGCTACTAGTTCGAGTTGGGGAAGATGGGCCTTGTAGTCCCATCAGTCCTGAGGAAGCCTGGATGGGGAGCGGTCCTAAATTATTTGGCGTGGGGAAATGGGGTGGGGGTGGGGGGGGGTGTCCAAGCGACAAGGGAAATCTAGTGGCTGGGAAATCAGGTCCTTAGAGTGAATGCAAGGCCGCCCGGGATCCTTAAAAGCGGATCACATCCGTTTCCAACGAGATCTACCTGCCACTGGTTCACACTCAACAGCCCTGCGTTCGAAGAAACGCCGTCAAGGCTTAACGGCTAGCGTTAAAACGTATCTTACGACTCACAAGGGACCGCCTGAACATCCACGCTTAAAACACGGAGACACATTCACACGTGCAAAGAGTGAACAGAATGGGTTTTTCTGGGAAGTAAATCTCGAATCAGGCGCCATTGGATCACTAGATCGGTTTGGGGTCGTTTCTGGCCACCGATTCGATTTTCGGAAGGATCTAACCCCCCTCCCATTTTGGACCCACGCACCCCAGACATAATAATTATTTTTATTTATATCTGCAGCATTTAACCACCCATTTGGGGGGGGGGACTTCATTCTTAATCCGCCCCTGTCAGTCCCTTTCTTGGGTTGCTAATTCCCTTAAACCGAGTTCACCTCGGATTTAAATTCCATCACATGGAACTAACTGTAGCTGAAAGGGGAAAGGGCCCATTTTAAACCGTTTTATTTTTCACAAGCTAATTTTTTTGGGGGGGGATCTAATTCCTCCGAAGGAAAGTCCCCTGAATTTCAAAGAGGCTTTCTTTCAACCCAGTTTTGAAAAGAATTTCTGCTGTCCATCGGCCTTTGTGCCAATAGATGGGCCTGGCTGATAATTCGAATTAAAGGACGGGGTGAGATCAATCCTCAAACGGAGGCGGCTCTGATCCGTTTTGCGCTTGATAAACCGCTTGCCCTAGACTTACTGTTTCATTCAGTGGAGCTGGAAACCTATGAGATCTCTTCTTGAGGGATTTTATTTATTTATCTTCATTTATTCGATTTACACAGCTGCCCCCCTCCTCTTTGTGACTCTAGGCAGCCGCGTATTTTGTGCTTGTATTCCCAATGCGCGCTTACTCTGTTTCAACTCATTCTGATTTTTCACAAGGCACACCTCGAACCTGGCTACAGGCTAGGTTAAAATATGGCCAAGTTAGACTGTGGTTTAGTTTATCGTGGGTATAAGACTGGCGGGGTTACAGAAGGAAGAGTTTTTAGCTCGGATTTATATCTTGCTCGAGGTACAACTAACAAGATTTGGGCACAACTAGCAAGATTTGGGCGCGGCCGTTTTGGGTGTCGAAAAACTAAGGTAAAGGACGGCAAGAGCACGTAGACTTATATATCGCTTCGCAGTGCTTTGCAGCCCTGTTCTAAGCGGTTTACAGAGTCAGCCTATTTGCCCCCAACGATCTGGGTCCTCGTCTTACAACCTCGGAAGGCCGAGTCAACCAAGGATGGTCACAAGCAAGTGAAATACCAATTAAACCAGGAGAATCGGGGTTTAAGCAAGCTCCGTTTAAGCCAAGGTCTCGGACCTGCTCCAAAAGTCTAGTATGGGAAGAACTAAGCTCGTGTAACTGCCATCGATCTCCCTTCAAATCAAAGGGGCTTTGCTTCGATTTATTATTATGGGATGGAGAGTGGAACGTCCGGATCCTGACCGCCTTTCCCCCGCCCCCACACACACACCCCAAAAGCAATTTAACAAGGAATTGAGGGAAACGGATCCAAACCTAGAGATGAGACGAAACACGCAGCTTTCTCGGGAATAGGTCAGCCCTGCAATTCGCAGCAGGAGCAGCCCTTCCGACGTGCTGCTTGGCTTAGCAAGTGAAGACGCTGCTGATACTCTTATTTTAAGGCACCTGGGAATAAGCCTCGCAGGAACGAGTGGGACGCAGGCCTCCCGAGGGGGACCCACTCGCAGTTTTTGCTTCTTAGTCCCACATTAATCCCAAACCCTAGTCCCAAAGGGTCTCTTTGATTTCCTTACTCGCGAGTAAAGCCCTAAGTAAAGCATTTCTGCGGGACGAGCAGGAGCGAGGCTTGGACGCCCTTATGAAGCCACACCCTTATCCTCGCCAGTACAGTTTACTAGTCGGCCTCGTTTTGGGGGAATATTAGGAATATTATCAATATTCCACAGGATCCCAGTGGCGTTTCCTCAGAGGCCGAGGGAGGGAGGTGTGCCCTGTCTCAGAGAAGGCCCCTCGGCTGAGCCCTTCTTCCCGGAGGGCAAAACCCCAACGACTGACTCGGCGCCTGCCCAGCCACTGAACCCCCAAAACAACGCAAGAGGATAAAACACCGTGGAAAAAAATAATCAGAAAAAAAAAAATTCAGCCGCGCTGAATTCTTCCCCGTTTGCAGCGCTCCTTGCTCGACGCGTGTGTGACTCTGCCCCCCCTTTTTTCCCTTCGTCCCCCTAAAAGCACATTTCTTTAGAAAGGGGTCCCTGGCAAGCTCAGAGAGTCTTCTCCTCTTTCGGGGACCCCCGCCGGACTTTTGAACCAACCCTGGTTCCCTCCAACGAGGTCTTTGCGCCCCGCTGGGTTCATTCAGACGGTCCTGGGTTTTATTTTATTTTATTTTTTTGCCACCGGGAGGCAAAATACTTCACCCTGGCAAATGATCAGAGGGTGAGTCTTTGGAGGTCTTCAGAAAAAGCCCCCTCTGTTTTTCTCCTCCCCCCCCCCTCCCCTTCCCGGAGCATGTGAGGCTCACAGTTTGGGAAGTGATTCAACCCCGGGACAGGTTCGAGGCGAGATTTCTTCGATCGGTTAAGGCAAAGGGTCTTTGGGAGTAGTTGAGGTGATGGAAGTAAATTGGGAAAGGGAGGGAGGGAGGGAGGGAGGGAGGAAGGAAGGAAGGAAGGAAGGAAGGAAGGAAGGAAGGAAGGAGAAAAGGGAGGGAGAGAAGGAAGGAGAAGGAGAGAAGGAAGGAGAGGAAGAGAGGAGGGATGGAAGGAAGGAAGGAAGATGGAGGAGGGATGGAAGAAAGGAGAGGGAGAGAAAAGGAAGGAAGGAAGATGGACGAGGGAAGGAGGGAAGGAAAGAAGGAAGGAAGGAGAGGGAGGGAGAGAGGAGGGAAGGAAGGAAGGAAGGAGAAAAGGGAGGGAGAGAAGGAAGGAGAGGGAGAGAGGAGGGAAGGAAGGAAAGAAGGAAGGAAGGAAGATGGAGGAGGGAGGGAAGAAAGAAGAGGGAGAGAGAAAAGGAAAGAAGGAAGGAAAGAAGCAAGGAAGGAGAGAGGAAGGAAGGAAGGAAGGAAGGAAGGAAGGAAGGAAGGAAGGAAGGAAGGAAGGAAGGAAGGAAGGAAGGACATGTGTCGCAAACTGCCCAGTGCACTAAACCCACTCCTGCCCTTCAAACGACCAATTCTCCACCGGTTCCACTGAGAATTACGCCCGGGGTCCCACCACCGTCTTTTCTTTCCCTCCAGCACGAAATCTAAAAAAAAGAAGATATTTCCCTGCTATTTCGCCTTTTTCGAGTGGGGTGATGATGATGATGATGGGGGGGGGCATTTTTAAGCAAGGCTCCTCTTCCCCCCCCCCCAGCGACCTTACTAACCCAGCTCAGGTCCAAAGCGGCCCACGAGGGGCGACCTGAAAGAAGACCGGACACTTTCAGCCCATTTACAGAGTAGGCTATTAACCGTCTCATCCCTGCAGGCGTTTCTCTCTTTCTGGTTGTTCGAGGCAGCAACCTTCGCAGCCCTGAATCCCACCATGCCCCAAAGATGTGGCTTTTCATTTAAAGGGGGGGGGGAGGGCGAAGGACAGTGAAAAGCTGACCTGGGTAATCACACCCTCCCAAGCAATACAATGTTGGCTCTCCTTCTTTTCAGCCACCCCCCCCCAAAGGTGCTTTTTTCCAAAAGGCCACTGGATCGCCCAGTTGCAGTAGTAGTAGCCCGTTTTCAGGGGTTCAGTCGCGTTCCCTCCGGCAAGCTTTCCCCGGTTGTGGGTTGCGTGCGTTGCACACACACACACACACACACACGCGAGTGCAAAGAGGCCGGAGCTGAATTCCAACATGGGTGGGGGGAAAATTAGAGAAGGAGCTTAAACTCGAAGTTTAAGGCTCTCAGTTCTCACAAACTCACGCGGGGGGTGTGGGGGTGTGGAGAAGCTGGCTGTGCACATTCCACGGGAGGAAAATTAAATTTATATATTTATATAGCAAAACCGGGCAGGCTCAGCTTTTTTTTTTTTTTCCCTCACTCTTAACTCGCAAGCTGTAATTTATTTTTTTAAACCAGATCCTGTGAGATAGAAGGAGAAGGCCGACTTGAGTGGCGAGAATCAGAATCTAGCCCTTTTATTTTTTTTTGCTGCATTTTTTTTGCTTTTGTAAAATACACCTGTAATTCAACTTGTTTTCTTTATTCCCTTCCCGGAGGGGGAGAGAAAGAGAGAGAGAGAGAAAAAAGACCTTTTCGTAACCTCTTAAAGTGAGTTTAAAAGGAGGTCAAGTTATAACACAACAAACCAAGTCAAGATTTATGGAAATAATTCCTTCTGTCCCTCCTTCTCGCTTGAAACGTCTAAGTGATTTTAATGAAAAAAGGTCTTTTTAAAAAAAAAAAACAAGCCGATTTTTCCTGCGCTGCCTAGATTCGTTCCGATACGCCCATTACTGTTCTATGGAGAGATGTAAAACATAAAAATATTTCTCCCTCTCCTTTCTTTCTTTCTTTCTTTCTTTCTTTCTTTCTTTCTTTCTTTCTTTCTCTCTCTCTCTCTCCTCCCCTCTCCCTCTCTCTTTTTCTCTCTTTTTTTCCCCCACTCTTTCTCCTGCTCTTTCTCTCTCTCTTTTGCTACTCCGAGATCTACTCCTTTGTATTTCATTTGATTTTCAACAGGGCGTCATTGATGTAGAAATGCATTTTTAAATATATGTTTAACACCGCGCTGCTGGAGAAAAGTTTACTCTAAGATGTGGCATCATTCTGTTTAAGGAGTTTTTTTTCCCAGGTCACGAAAGACGGAGAATTGCAGTCTAAGGTTTGGGAAAGGCGAGCACAAAAACAGCCAGGTGATCATCTAAGATCAAAATGTAGGTGGGTAGGTAGGTATATACACGCATGCATGCATGCATACAGTGAAAAGGCACAATTGTATAAATATTGTAGCTTTTTCAAATGGATGGCTGGGAGCAGAATCCAGTTTTCAAACAATCCCCCCCCCCCTCCAAATCGCTCAGCTCAACTGCTAGTTTGTCCCAAAGCCAGTTCGTCAACTTCCAGGATCCGTTTTCCCCACCTCACAATATTTGTAAGAGGATGGGGTGGGAGTATCCGAGCCCACTCTCCATCCCGTCTGCAATTTGGAAGCAATGAGGGGGGGGGGAGAAAGGAAGGAAACGCTTAAACACCTTACAAGGAAACGTTTTTTCTCTCTCTTTCACCGATCCCCGCTTTGCGTCTTTTCCTTCGGCTGGTTGCAAAAAAAGAGTTGACGGCTTTCCGAATGAGCGGCCGGGGAAAAAAAATTACAAATAAAAATCCGAAAATCCTCCGGGGGGGGGGGTCAACTCTCTCTCTCTCCTTGCTCCTTCCCGCCCGGCAATCGCGGATCCTCGGGAAAATTGCGCTTCCCGAATTTCTCTCTCTACCCGGAGGAAATTTGCGGGTGATTTTCTCTTCTTCCCCACCCTCTTCTTTTATTTAAAAATCTGCTGAAGACGGTGCTTCTTTTATTTAAAAATCTGCTGATCCCAACGGGGCTTCGCTTACCTAACTATGGTTGGGAATCTAAACCGGAGACAAGCCCGGTGACTTCATATTTCTATCGACACACCTTCCAAGCAAGCGACTGGTGCAGAGAGAATGCCGTATATTATTATTATTATTAATCATCGCACAGTCAGCCAGATGTTCAGACTGGATTTGGCATTATTATTAATTATTATTATTATTATTATTACTGATCATCTCACAATGAGCCAGATGTTCAGACTGGATTTGGCATTTTGTCTACCTATCGAGTCTTTACCCAGGACCTGGGATAGGCAGATGTGGATGTTTGATGCTATTACAGATATCGTCGCAGTTATTATTATTATTATTATTATTATTATTATTATTATTATAGATCATCGCACAATCAGCCAGATGTTCAGACTGGATTTGGCATTTTGTCTACCTATTGAGTCCTTACCCAGGACCTGGGATAGGCAGATGTGGATGTTTGATGGTATTACAGGTATTATTATTATTATTATTATTATTATTATTATTACTACTACTACTACTACCACCACCACTAAAACTACTACAACTACTACATGGGAATTGGGGCGCTGGAGGATACGCGAAGCAGAATGGGGGGGGTCCCTCTGTGTGTTTGTGTGTGTGTGTGTGTGTGTGTGTGTGTGTGTATGGTGTTAGGATATTTTTTTACTACTTCCCTCGCCCCCCACCCCACGGCTTAGCTTAGAAACCCAGCTTGCTCTGAACATTAAGCTCCTGATAAGAGAGCGTGGAGGCCGCGAGGATTTATCGCTTGCTGATAAGAGTCTCCCCCGTTTCAGAATCAGGTGATTGGGGGGGGGAATGGGAGGAATAAAACCCCCAGGTAGAAACCGTTTGAAAGTCGCCTCTTTCCCCAGACAGAAAGAGGAGACGCGCCAAACTTTATCCCGCGCCAATCTTTATGCAAGGATCCTATCAAAATTGTGGTGAAAGCATTGTTGTTTTTATGCGCCCAGCTATTCTGTCCTCGGGAAGATTGGAAAAGGCTAAGGAGAAAAGAGAGCGCCCCCAGCACTGGGCTCTTGGAGACAGAATTGGGAAGAGGGGCCTCGAGCTGGCAGTGGCTAGAGCCCCCACCCCCACCCCCAAAGCCAGGGTTGGGCTGAAATCCTGTGCCCGTCTAAGGAAGGGCCTTTCAGAGGGGGCGAAAAGGCAGCGATGGCGGCTGCCTGCCAGCGCTCCAGTTCCCAGTGGAGTGATTATCTGAAGATAGAGACACGTGTCAATGGCGTAGGATTCCCCCGGGCCAGAAGGACAGAGCTAAAGTAAAGAGGAAGAGGGAGGAAGGGGAAAGAAAGAAAGAAAGAAAGAAAGAAAGAAAGAAAGAAAGAAAGAAAGAAAGAAAGAGGGAGGGAGGGAGGAAGGAAAGAAAGAAAGAAGGAAAGAAAGAAAGAAAGAAAGAAAGAAAGAAAGAAAGAAAGAAAGAAAGAAAGGGGGTAAGGAGGAAGGAAGGAAAGGAGAAATGGAAGGTAGGGAGGGAGGGAGGGAGGAAAGGGAAGGAGACAGAAAAAAGAGAGAAAAGGAAAGAAAGAAAGAAAGAAAGAAAGAAAGAAAGAAAGAAAGAAAGAGAAAGGGAAGGAAACAAGGAGAAAAGGCAGGCAACCAGGAAGGAAGGAAGAAGGGAGGAAAGGAAAGGAAGGAGAGAGAAAAAAGAGGAAGAGAAAGAAAGAAAGAAAGAAAGAAAGAACCAAAGAAAACCATAAATGTAAGGAAGAAAAGGAAACAAAGAGAAAAGGAAGGAAGGAAGGAAGGCGCCCACTTACAAATCCGTGCTTGTCCGATATGTTGTTGGTGAGCTTCAGCTTATGGAAGGCCACCGGCTTGGCCATCCACTGCTCGCCCGTGGCCGGACTATCTGGGTGGATGTACATCCTCTTCGGCATCTCCGGGTCGGCTTTGCCGGCCACCATCCAACGCGAGTTGTGGAACTTGTAGCGACAATCGTCGGCAGCCACAATATCCATCAGCAAAATGTACTTGGCTTTCTTATCCAGGCCGCTGACCCTCACTTTGAAAGGGGGGAACATCCGTCTGAAGGCGAAAGAGAGAGACGAGACTAAATCTCGGCGCAATTCCAATTCCATATATTTAAAATTATGAATAAAAAGAAGAATATCATACTTTGCAACCCACTTCTGCACCTGTCCCTTTAAACTAACTAGGGCCCAACAACGAGTGATCCCTGGTTAATAATGTCCATTAAATGCCACAATTCTCTCTAAATTTCCTGCTCGGACAAGCTTGAAGGCCTGTGTCCCCCTCCCCTTTCTATGATACAGCCCCCCTCTGTTAAACTGGGGGAGACTCGGTTTACTCCCGAATAATACACCGCTTTGGTCTTTTCCCTGGACGCCCCCCCCCCCAGACTTCAGTCAAACTTCCCAAGAAGGAACTGAAAATGGGGTAGGCAGGAGTGGGTGGGGGGGTCTTTTCCCCTTCGGAAACTCGGAACAATTAATCCGGAGTAACAACGTCTGCTTCCTTCCCCCCACCCCTGCGGGGTCGCCCCGATTTTAGCCTTTGCCGGGGGGGGGGTTCATTTCTCTCCTTCGCTATCAAAACAGACTCGGGGCAAAGACAATCCAGCATGCCTTCATTTGGTTAAGGAAATATTTCTAACCGGTCCAATCATTTCTGCTTTAGAAGCCCGAAGAAGGCTAAACAATAAAACCGTTTCAATTAAAAGAATAACAAAAAAAACCCCACTTCTCTTCCTACCACCTGCAGGCACCTATCCAGCCATTTTAAAGAGAGGTGCTTCCCACTCAAGGGAGCTTTTCTACACTTCTCTCTCTCTCTCACTCACACACACACACACAGGGAAATAATCCGAGTTATGGATTTGCACCAAAAAAAAAGGGAAATTATGAAGAGGGAGGTGATTTACCCCCTCCTCCCCCCCCCGAAGGTCCCTTTGCCTGGAGTTAAAATGAAAACTAAAACTAAAACTTAAAACACAGAAACCTGGAATTAAAAAGCCTGCAAGATTCTCTCTTGGAGAAGAAGCAGCTGCTTGGGTTTGACTTAAACTCAGCCTCGGTGTCCGAGGTTGGCTGGATAAAAACCCCGAGGCTAGGGAGGACGGGGGGGGGGGGAGGAAGGGCGTGTACAGAGGACCCCTTTAATAACAGAAGGAAGAAGTGATTTTAAAAAAAAACAACGCGAAGGACAGGCCGCTGGAAGAGAGACAAGCGAAAGGAGGGGGAAAAAAAACGCATAGGGGAAAAAAAAAAAACCGCATAAAGTCCCTCTGTAAAACCAATAACTCCTCAGATATTTTAAAAAAGGGGGGGACAAAAAGCAGGGGTGCAAATGACACCCCCCCCTACACACACACACAGACACCCACACACAGATCCAATCAATTTAATCAGCCTAAAAACTTGAACCAGGAAGGCCGGCCGGGGATGGGTGGGAAATTATAAAAACGCGAATCTGGGCAGTTTTTCTTTTGCTTGATTTTTTTACTCGCGAGGAAACCTCGCCGTTGCCCCGAGCTCTGGGGGCAACCGAGCCTGGGACACTAGGCCACCTGCCCGCCTTGCCAGACTTTTTACACGGGAATCCTGTACACGGATTTTTGGGGGGTGGTTGTTTTTTTTTTCCCCTGCCAGCCGCCCCCAACTATTTCCAGCTGTGGCTTTCCAGATGTTGGCGCATTAAAAAAAAACGTAGTTTTTTTTTCTTTAAAAAAAAAAAAATCCTTCTGATTTGCTCAAAATGATTCAGAATGGCAGAAGAACAGACAAGAGATATTGCAAAGGGACCAGCGAGAAATTCTTTAAAAAAAGAAGGAAAAAAAGCGCAGGTCAACCTTTACATCGAAATAAACTGCATGTGGAAATAGAGCCTAAACTGCAGTTCAGTGTTTAAAGAATAAGAATCGGAATTCTAAAGGGGACGGGGGTGGGTGGGTTTGGACGCCAATTTCTCGAAACTGCTTCGGGGGGGGGGAATCATCCTGTCTTTTTAAAAAATAAAAATAAAAAATAAGATAAATGGCTTTCAGGCTCCTTGTCAAGTCCCCCACCCCGCTCTCCTAACCCGCCTGTCTGAAATCAACCCTCCGCTCGTTTCAGGATTTCCAGGGACCTCCAAACGGAAGATTCCCTTTCGCAGATATCAGCCTAAATATTTGGGATGCGAAGGGAGGGGGGTTGGGGTTGGAGACAGCAGGGCTCAAACTGGAAAAATTGCAAATATTGTTGTATTAGTAACGTGGCGAAGCCCCATCTCGCGGAAAGGAGAAAAAAAGTTGGTTTTTCTCTGCTTTCCCACGGGAAAACCCCAACAGGGATTCTGGAAATTATATGATTTGTTCGTTACTTCTTACTCTTTTTCCGCACTTACTTCAAAAGGGCACAGCGTGTTGTTGATGATGATGGTGGTGAATTCTCCCTCTCTCCCTAATATATACTAAAAATCCTTCTGCATATTATTATTATTATTATACAAGGACAATTTGTCTTCTGTCCCCAATAAATACTAACAATCCTTCTAACATATATTTATATGTAATATTGCTATTTTATTATTATTGTTGGACAAGGGCTGAATTCTTTCCTCCCTCCACAATAAATAATAAAATCATTTCGCATATGTATTATGTTGCTGTTTTATGATTATTGGACAAGGGCTGAATTCTTTCCTGTCTCCACAATAAGTAATAAAATCATTTCGCATGCGTATTATTGTGGCTATTTTATTATAATTGGACAAGGACTGAATGAATTCTCCTTCTTTCCATCATAGATACTCAAAATCCTTCTGCATGTATATTATTATTGCTACTGTATTATCATTATTATAGGACAGGGACTGAATTCTCTCTCTTTCCATAATAATTACTAAAAAAAACCCTTTTGCATCTATATAATTATTGCTATTACATTATTGTTGGACCAGGATTGGATTCTCTCTCTCTCTCTCTCTCTCTCTCTCTCTCTCTCTCTCTCTCTCTCTCTCTCTCTCTCTCTCTCTCTCTCCCCACAAAATTGCTAAAATCATTCTGCCTATATTATTATTATTGGTGTTGTTAGCTCTTTGAGAATCCGGTGGCCTCAAAATCTAATCCACAGGGCTCTAGCCAGGCAGAAACTTCTTACGTTTTCTGCACTACTTAGCTTCAAAGGGAATAGCACTACATAGTCTTATTTTAGGATGATAACACACAAGGGCTGGCTTTCCCCCCCCCCCCGAGGTCCATAAACCACTCCTTCCGCACATTCCATTAATATTCCCATTTATTCCTAATTCTTGTTCTGTGCAGCTTTGCTTTGAAAAAAGACCCTGTACAGACAGGGACAGTCAACTACATTACTACGACCGTGGTTATTACCGTGGTCATCCATTCCACGGCTGGCTTTTTTTTTTCCTGCCCGGTGAAATCTACTTTATTGTTGTGATGATTCTTTTTAATTAATAGCGGTGGGGGGGAGCGGCGGGGGGGGGTAGGGAGCTCTTCCTTACCTGCCCGATTTCGTGATCACCATCTCGGTGCCCAGTTTGTGGAATTCGTCCCAGAGGTCTTTGGCTTCCAACGTGACTTTGGGGTCGTCTTCCACTTCCTCCTCCGGCTCCAAGCTTTTCAGCGACCGCAGATGGGCGGCTTGGTGGTGATGTCCGAGAGCCGAGACGTGCAAGCCGGCTTCGGCGGCGGCTCCAGCCAGGCTGGGATCCGCCAAGGGCTTGGTGAGGGCGGCGGGGGGCAGAGCCAGCGCCGGGAAGAAGGAAGGCTGGGCGGCCGCTAAGAAAGCAGACATGGGGAAGTCGGCTGGCCTGGGCGCGTGGAAGGGGTGGTAAGCCATCGCAGCCCCGGAGAACGCTGGATCTCTCATCGGGACATCCACAAAGCCAGGCGGGAAAAGCGAGGCCCCCCAGGCCGAGAGGGCTAGCGGCGGGAAGGAAGAAGCCGGCGGCCCGCTGAATTTCAGCCCGGCTTGCTTGGCGCTCAGCGGCGGAGGTCTAGTCAGTTTCAACCTACCGGCGCTTTCAGCCAGGCTGCCGTCTTCGCCTCCTTTCGGGGCTTGGCAGAGAGGGAGGGGGGGAGAAGAGGGGAGCACCGCAGAAGACGGGTGGGGAGCCCAGGCCCCCGCCACCACCACCACCACCCCTGGCGACTCCGACGATCGGAAGCCTCCGGACGGGTTGCCGGACGCCCGGAGGGGCTTCTTCTTCGCCGCCGCCAACGGGAGGCAGGCCGGCAGGGAAGGGACGCCCCCCCCCTTCCTTCGCTGAGATCTTCAAAAATCAAGAAAAATCAAGAAGATCCGGGGGGGTCCCCTCCCCCGCCACCGATTCCTCACGCCTCGGGATCTTGCAGCTTTTTTGATGGGGGGGGGTGGTTCTTTAATTTAAAAAGAAAAAAAGAAAGAAAAGCACCTCTCCAGACGAGCTTGCAAACTTGGGGGGCTTGCTTTGGGAGGGGGCAGTCGGGCAGGGCAGCGTCGTCGTCCCCCCCCCCCTCCCGGGCGCCTGCAGCCTGGAGAACAACTCCCGGCCGTTCCGAGAGAGAGAGAGAGAGAGAGACAGAGAGAGAAAGAGAGAGAGTGAGAGAGAGAGAAAGAGAAAGAGAGAGAGCCGAGTTGGATCTTGGAGGAATAAAGAGCGAGCGGTTCGTTCCGGGCTGGCACTCAGCTCTCGGGCCGGCTCTGCCTCTCAGCCTTTTCCAATCCAAAGCGAAAGCAAAGGGCGGATTCCTCGAGTCAAGAAGCGCGAGGCTCCGGCGTCGGATCGAGCCCGGCTCGGGGGGCGAAGAGGAGAGCCGGACGGTTCATCGCTCCGGCCGGGAGAACTCCGGGTGGAATGCTTCTCTTTTCCCCTGCTGGCTTCGCTCTGCAAAAAAAAAAAAAAAAAAAGGAAAGAAAGAAAGAAAAAAAAAAAAGCTGGGGGCTGTCTCGCGTGCGCCGCCTCGCTCCTCTCCCCGCTTCCTCCGCCTCTTTGCTCGCTCGCTCCGCTCGCTCCACCCGCCGCCCACCCGCGTCCCCCCCTCCTTTCCCTTCCCTTCCCTTCCCCTTCTTCCCTCCGCCGGCGCGTTTCCACCTCTCTTCCCTCTTTCTCTCCCCCCCCACCCCCCCCACTCTTAATGATTGTGGATTTTACGAAGCGCAGACCAATTGTGGAAGCCCAGAGGCGTGGTTTTGACAGGTTGGGCCCATCTGCGGGGGGGGGAGGGAGGGAGGGGGGAGGCAGAATTAAAAAAAATAAAATAAAAAAGGCAGAAAAGAAAGCGGTTTGCTGCAGGGGGGGGAAGGAAAGAAGGAGGAAGGAGGAGGAGGGAGAGAAGGAGAGAGCGAGCGAGCGAGGAAGACTTGGGCGAAGGTGTCGGGAAAACTCTGGCCAGAAAGCAAACATGTCAACAGAATAAAATATTAACCGAGGCTGGAGGCCTTATAGGAGGCCTCCCCACGCCGGACCGGGGTTCCCGGGCGGCAGGATCCTGGCTCACCGAGCGGGAGGGAAGCTTCCCCGGAGCTGCTACCAAAGGCTGTCCGAAGCTGCCCGGGCAGCCAGCAAGGCAGCAAGCGCCCCGCCGCCGCCCAACGCGGCGGACCGCAGCCTTTAAGAACGGCATCCTGGAGCGAAAGGCAGAAGATTGGCGTCCCGGGGGTGGAGGTGTGGGTGGAGGGATGGGGGGGGGGCTAGGGGGTTGCACGAGGGAGGGGTCAGGGACAAGAGACGAGGCTGACCCACGGGGGCGTCCTAGTTCCACGAAGCAGGAGTTAAAGGAAGGCCAATAAGCCCCCTTCCCCCCCCTTTCCCAAGACCTTTAAACACGCGGGCGTTTTGAGGGCCGGTGAGAACACGACGCCGGGTTAAAACCTCGGATAAGGTTATTTCTCCCCCTTTTTCCAAGCGCCTTCGGCCCCGGTGCGCCCCAGCCTCGTTGCAACCCCAAGCCCGCCGCGTCTTCCTCGGATTTCCCCCTTCGCACGTCTGCTTCCCTCTCACACACCCCTTCTCTCGCTTCCTCCCCTTCGGCCCGGCGCCCTAAGGCTTAACGCTCCAAGGAGGCGCGTTTGGACCGGGCAAGAGGTTTTTGGGGGGGGTGGGGGGGTGGGAAGAGCTGATCTGGTGCCCGGTTTTGCCCCAAACTTGCAAAGAACTCAGGCCGCCGGTGTCAAGTCCGCAAGTAAATAATCTTGCCCGCCAGGGTGTTCTCTTTGCCCAGTCAAGACGGAGGGATGTAGTATCTATCCCTGGGCGAAGATTGAGCGGACGCTGCCCCGAAAAGCTTGCAGCGCCCCAGTTATAAGAGACGCCGCTTCCCTCCCGAGTCCCCGGAGCCGGTTAGTTTTTTACCCTGCGGGAATAAAACCCTTTACCTTGGGGTAAAGAAGCCTGCTAGGGAGCAGGCTGGGTGTAAACCGAAAGCCTCGGCCAAGCCAGCCCCTCGCCCTTACTCGGGAGTAAATGCCAACTTCGAGAAAAGCGGCGCTTCCAACTTCGCGCAGCAATTTCGGGTCTCTGTCTTAGAGCAGCGCCGGGTCCAGCCCGAGCCCCAAGCGAGGCGCACAGACACCCCCGCCGCCCAGTTTGAAGGTGCGTGAGTGGGGGGGGGGAGGGACGAAAGAGAGAACCGGGGATCGAGCGGGTAGAATCCTTTGAATCAGTCCTGTCGGAGGGGGCTCTTTCGTCCTATCTCCCCCCCGCCCTCGGCGAGAGTTGGAGGCTAAGGCGCTGGCTCCTTCGGTCGAGACGCACTTAGGAAGGAAGGAAGGAAGGAAGGAAGGAAGGAAGGAAGGAAGGAAGGAAGGAAGGAAGGAAGGAAGGAAGGAAGAGCTGAGTGAAAAAACAGGGAAGGAAGGAAGAAAGAAAGGAAGGAAGGAAGAAAGAGCTGAGTGGAAAAACAGGGAAAGAAGGAAGGAAGGAAGGAAGGAAGGAAGGAAGGAAGGAAGGAAGGAAGGAAGGAAGGAAGGAAGGAAGAGCTGAGTGAAAAAACAGGGAAGGAAGGAAGGAAGGAAGGAAGGAAGGAAGGAAGGAAGGAAGCTGAGTGGAAAAACCAGGAAGGAAGGGGAGAAAGGAAAGAAAGAAAGAAAGAAAGAAAGAAAGAGAAAGAAAGAAAGAAAGAAAGAAAGAAAGAAAGAAAGAAAGAAAGAAAGAAAGAAAGAAAGAGCTGAGTGGAAAAAACAGGGAAGGAAGGAAGGAAAGATAGAAAGAAAGCTGAGTGGAAAAACAGGGAAGGAAGGAAGGAAGGAAGGAAGGAAGGAAGGAAGGAAGGAAGGAAGGAAGGAAGGAAGGAAAGGAGCTGAGTGGAAAACCGGGTTGGAAGGAAGGAAGGAAGGAAGGAAGGAAGGAAGGAAGGAAGGAAGGAAGGAAGGAAGGAAGGAAGGATAAAGCCGCGCCGCAGCTGAAAGTAGGGCCCACTCCGAGGCGCAGAAATGAATGGATTTCCGTGTCCCCCCCCTCCAACGAGGCTCAGGGCGGGGGATTAGCTGCAAGGCGATCCGCGTGGCTTTCTTCTCTCAACCTGGAATCTCGGATCGCCGGAGCGGAGGAAGGACCTAGGGAGACTCGGAGCATCGCCGCTTTAAGAGCCTCTTTGCGACGCCCAGCCGGACTGGCGAACGAACCTCCGACCCCAGCCAGCCACGCCGAGCGCCGGGCTCAGCAGGCCCTGCCAGACGCGGCGGCCTTCGGTGAGTGACAACAGCCGAGAGCCGTCGGGCACCCGCGGGAGAGATTTCCAGGGGTTCACCCGAGGCCCCGAAAGGGGGAATAATAATAATAATAATAATAATAATAATAATAATAATAATAATAATAATAATAATAATAATAATAATAATAAACCTGCAGAAGAAGGGGTAGAGGAAATACTGGGGTAGACCCGCGTTTGGTACGTGTGAACGCAGCCGCGCTTCCAGTCCGAGTTGCAGCCTTGATCTTCTCCGGGTTGCTTGCCTCCCCTCCCCCCCCCCACATCGCGCAGGGGGTCCCATCAAAGGCTTTGGGATCTGGCCCAGGGAGTTTGGCCAAGAGATTCCCTCAGCCCCGCCGCTTAGTAGTTGCAGGAGGAGAAAAACTGAAACGCGAACGTGGGAAAAGATGCGGGACTTTTGCCCCCACTTTACCCCGGCGCCTCCGAACCGAGCGGGATCTCGAAACGGGGGCCTCGGATTAAGCTAGGACGCCCGACTTCACTGCGCGAAGTCTGGGGAGGCTCTGCGTAAAAGCTGAGCGAGCAGAAGAAAACGGCCGTGCTCAAACTCCCGTAAACACGGGATAGGGTCCCGCTGGCTAATGTTCCGACGAGACGAAGAAGCCGGTTATTGAATGATCTCAGATGTGTGTGTGTGTGGGGGGGGTAGCTAATCAACTGCACCAGAAAGGAAACGAACGGGATGGATTGCAGCTGTCCTAGCGCTCCCCCCACCCCTCAGATAAATAAGCCTAAGGCAAACCAAGTTCGGCGTATTGAATTAAACGCAGTCCTGGGGCTTTTTGCTCATCCTAGCTTGGCCGGTTGTGGGAAAACAGCCAGCCCCCGCGGTGGGAATTGAATTTTTCGCAAAATTGTTGCGCCAGAGAACTAGATCGTGTAATATATATATTTAAAAAAAATGGAATGCGTGTATAAATTCATCCCTTATGGCTCAAAGTTGGTTAACTTAAAAGTCCCAAGCCACTCAGAATCAAGCCCGTTCAAACGCTCCGAAATGGCTTGGCTTAAACTCGGAGGAGATATGTTACAGAGTCCTTAGGACGGATGTTGAAATGCGTAGCTATGATCTGATCACTGTTGAAAGAGCAAACGGTGCAGGTGCTTTGATCTTGCCTGTAAACTGAACGGCTCTGTTTGCCAACGCTCCTCGCTGCTTTTCCCGGGGAAGCAGAATTCATTGGGTTGGGGATGGAGGGGCAGAGACAGCGAGAAAGAGAGAGAGAGAGAGAGAGGAGAGAAAGAAAGAGAGAGAAAGAGGGAGGGAAAGAGAGAGAGAAAGAGAAAGAGAGAGAGAAAGAGAGAGAGAGAAAGAGAAAGAGAAAGAGAGAGAGAGACGGGGTAGGGAAGGGAGAGAGAGAGAGAGAGAGACTGGGGGGGGGTAAGGAAGGGAGAAAGAGAGAGAAAGAGAGAGACGAGATGGCGATCGGTTTGCAAAAGCCGGTTTTGTTTAGATAGAGATTATTGGGGAGGGGGCGGGTGGGGGTCGAAGGAGAAGACAGCAGCGGCCTCTCTCTTCTCCTGCCCGCCCTTCTGCCCCCCCCGCCCGCCCGCCCACTCCCCAGATAGCC